CTGTTCCCAGTGTGTGCATGCGCAGAGTTGCCAGACAAAGGAAACAGCTAAAGAAAGGGTTGACTTGGGAGTAAGGTCACAGGTGGATGATGAATGGCCCTTCCCAGAGGAAATAGAGGAGTGAAAGGGGAGTGGAGTTTGCAGGAGACAATTAGTTCGCTTAATTGGTTTGTGACTCTCTGAGACTCCTTGCCATGTTTTGCAGATATTAGCCTGGCAGCTCTCCAAGCCAGATAAGGTCTGTGACTGTAAATCCTCCCTGGATAGACTTTGTTGGTTTTGAATGAGCAGAATTCACAGTAAATTAATAAAAGGGGTTTTTGTCGTGACAAGGAGTTTGCTTCATGCTCTCAGAAAAATGACTTTTGACTGTTTTTCACACTTATGACCATGATCATGTGATCAAAACTCAGATGCTTGGCAACTGACTCAGATTTATGATGGTTGCAGTGTGCCAGGATCATGTGATTACCATTTGCAACCTTCTGACAAGGAGAGTAAATGGAGAAGCCAAATTCACTCAACAACTGAGTCACTAATTTCTCTGGCAGAAGCACCGGCAAGCCAGTCCTTTGCTGTTTCCAGGGTGGCCCTGGGGGCCAGATCTAAGTACCCCGCAGGGTGGATCCAGCCTCTGGGCCTTGAGTTTGACACCCCTGAGGTAAAGTAATGTACCAGTCACTGTACCTGCCATGCTGTTTCTTACGACAATCAGGGACCAACTTATGTTGATTGTTCTCCAAGATCATCTAACTGCTTCCAATCCATGAACTCTCTATAAAATCTCCAAAAATCACTAGATCAGTGGTTCTCAACCTTCGTAATGCCGCGACCCTTTAATACAGTTCCTCATGTTGTGGTGACCCCCAACCATGAAATTATTTTATGTTTTCTGTATTTTTTTTTGAAAATATGTGTTTTCTGATGGTCTTAGGCGACCCCTGTGAAAGGGTTGTTCGACCCCCAAAGGGGTCCCGACCCACAGGTTGAGAACCACTGCACTAGATGAAGTATTTTTTTTTAGAACTGGTGCCTCTGCGTGGTGTTTGGTTTTTGTTTTTTTTAAAAAAAGTTCTTTTCCTCATCATTTTTCCTCCACTGGCCATTCTGGAAAGAGTCCCATCTCAATTGAAAGCTGAAACTTAATTGGTGATGGAGGAACCTTCCAGTTTTATGATTCCAGGTCTAAGTCCCCATCTTAGCAACCAAACAAATTTAGTTAGAGTTAGGGTTAGGGTTACGCAGCAGTCTGGCTGAAAGGCAAAATACAACTGCGCTGTGCAATTCTAAGAGTAGACACGTTTTGTTAGTTCCTGATGGGTGCTACGTGCACATCCAGCCGTGCTCCAAGTCTTATTTTGCCTTCCAAATCAATTGTTCCAAGCAGTAATATGTGTATGTTTCTGTGGCTGACTTCAGAACATGGTAGTTTTATCAGGAGGGGAAATAAAGTTTGTAAGATAATTTGGCTCCAAATTAACTATGAAGATCAAGAGTAGCAGTTCAGCTTGGAAAAGAAAATGACAACACGAGTTGTTAATCTCTTGGCATTTCACAGCCAAATGAACAAACCAAGGTTTGTAAACTTTTATAAACCGCATCAGGCACAGCAGTTAGAGTAATGTGGTTAATAATTTAGGCAAACTCTTGCATAGACATTCAGCAAGGCTACCAGCTCTGGGCGGCAACAATCCAGATGACAGCAAAGAGTTAGTTTTTCTGCCTCTCCACCCTTGGTGCTCTGAATTTGGTTGTTTTCTTGCAGATGTTTCAATACCAGACTAGATAACATCATCACTGTTATGAGGGAGTAGAGTTTGCTATTATTTTATATAGTAGTGTATTGCTCTGTCAGTGTAGTTCTAGGCTACATCAACAGAGGGATAGAATCAAGATCATGTGAAGTGTTAATACCACTTTATAATGCTTTGGTAAGGCTACACTTGGAATACTGCATTCAGTTTTGGTCACCATGATAGAGAAAAGAAGGTTGAGAGTCTAGAAAGAGTGCTGAGAAAAGCAACAAAAATGATTAGGGGACTGGAGGCTAAAACATATGAAGAACGGTTGCAGGAACTGGGTATGTCTAATTTGATTAAAAGAAGGACTAGGGGAGACATGATAGCAGTCTTCCAATATCTCAGGGGTTGCCACAAAGAAGAGGGAGTCAAGCTATTCTCCAAAGTACCTGAGGGTAGAACAAGAAGCAATGGGTGGAAACTAATCAAGGAGAGAAGCAACTTAGAACTGAAGAGAAATTTCCTTACAGTAAGAACAATTAATCAGTGGAACGGCTTGCCTCCAGAAGTTGTCAATGCTCCAACACTGGAAGTCTTTAAGAAGATGTTGGATAGCCATTTGTCTGAAATGGTATAGGGTTTCCTGTCTAAGCAGGGAGTTGGACTAGAAGACCTCCAAGGTCCCTTCCAACTCTGCTATTGTATTGTATTAGGTGGGAATGGACTTGGTGGTTCCTAAGATGTTGTTTGATAGTTTATCTGAGTTGGTAGCTCCTTGACTGGAATATTGTTTACTTTTTATATTCGAATCTAAAGACAATGAAACAATAGCCTAATCAAGGAACCACTAGTTGAGCAATCAAACATCTGCAAGAAAACAATCAGGTTCAGAGAGCACCAATGACCACATAGTTCAATCCTGAGCTGCAATCTTTTTTTCAGCATCTTTTTGAAGCTATCTAATTGTCATCCAGATTTCTGCAGAAATCTTCCATCTTCTGAAATAACTAAGCCCTATCAGGAGAGGCTAGTATTTTGGTCTTAATCAAGGAGATGCAGGTTGCAAATCTTGAAATCAATTATACCAAATCTGCTAGAAATTACAATAGTTACATATGATTCTTTTGCACTTCATGACCAATTCGCACAAAGAGGTTTTTTTCCCAGAATATTTGATTCTGCGGCTCCCATTGGCAAAAATCAGCATCGAGCTATCAGATCTCATAAGTTTAGGACAACATTGGAAATTGTATAAAGGCTGGCAAACAGTGAAGGAATTTTCTGGGGAGGGTTTGCCAATGCTAACAGATGGAATATTTTCATTCAGTCAACCTAAATGTTCTTTGTGATTGCTCCACGTTATTATACTTACATAAACTACTTTCCTATTCTATTGTATCACTTCAGTCAACCATTGGGAAGCGAAATGAGAAAATGGGGGGGGGGGTTGATAGGCACAATTACACTCTTGCAGTATTCTACTCCAGAAACAGGTTTTTGGTATCCTGAACCCAAAATACAATTTCCTTGGCGTGCCAACTTCCGAGTCTCCTGGGTTCAGGGGCACTGCATATGAGTGATGACTTTGCCATTGCTTTGTCTTTGCCAAGTAGAAGGAGGAGGCAGGAATCTGTTGATGGGTTTTTGAATTGCTTGCATGAAAGCAAACCATTTCTCTGCTTTGCATGACTCAGAAACAACAAAGGAAGAAGGGGGGCAAAAAAAACCACATTGGCACTCTTTCCTCAAATTAATGTGTGAATGCTGACTCACACAGCCTCTGAAGTGAGCAGCCCAGTTCACAAAATGGGGCCTGTTTGTTTGCATAATATGCCCATTTGAAACAAAACGATGCTCTGAGAGGTCAGTGCTTTGCTCGGCTAGACCTAACCAGAGGTTACAGCATTTGAGTTAAAAAAAATAAAAAGGGGTGGAAGGAGGGAAGTGGAAATGCAATTCCTGAGCAACTTTCTGGTTGCAATTCTGGGCACAAAAATAAAGGGGCTATCACTCTGTGAAGGATTCCCAGATTTAAACTCTGCATTTCTAGAACGAAAAGAGACTTGATGGTAGACTCGTAGTTGGTAATTGTCAGGATTAAAAATATTTCTCTATTGGGACCAATGGCTGGAATGCAGTTTCACTAGACCTAAACCAAAGTGATTGAAGAAGTTTTTATGACCCCCCCCCCCCCCCGGATCTGAATTTATTTGATAAGATTCCATGTCACTGTTATCTATTCTATTCTACTCGCACTACTACCTCCAACAGAGATATATCAGGCATCTTGGAAATTTATCTGTACAATAAAAAATGACCTCTCATAAGCCAAGTTATGAAATATTCTTTCCCCCTCCCCCAGCCAAATATCTTTCAGGTATGAGGGATTACAGTTTCCATAATTTCAAGGCAGCCTAAAATTCTTGGACTTGTAGTCCAACATATTTGAAGGAAGCTATGCTGACATGCTAACAAAGCACATATTGTTTGAGACGCGTTGATGTTCATGTTCACGGTATCTGTTTGTTTGACATGTTGAACCCGTCTTGCATTTCCAGAAAAATTGGTATCTCACATACAGGCACATACATGTCTCTCTTGATAGAGGAATGGAAAGAAAATGATGTTTTTTATCTTCACAAACTGACAGTGAATGTATCTTAGAGTTTATTCTGCCTGATAAGATACCCCTGTTTGAAAATTCTGCATTTTTGTAGCAGAATTCTTAGCACTGTAAAATCTACATTGTTCCAGAGATGTATCAGCCACGGCAATTTTGTAAAACCATAATAATAGCAACATAGGATGCACCTTCATTTTGCAGTTTAAAATGCATGCAGTCAAGAACATCATTTCTTGAGTCACAAAACCCACATTTTTAATGTTCCATTTCTAGCCTAACTTCCACATGGCAGCGCACTGCTGAATGCACAGATATGGCTCTAAATTTCCTTCAACTTCAAACAATCCCTCTATTTCCACTCAATGCAGAACCAGCATTCTTTTTAATCCCGGTTATTAATTCATTTGGCATGCAAGTGACATTTCTTTCACTCTTTCACACAGACTACATTACATTACAAGTTTTTGTCACAAGTTCATGCTGCACATAGTTCTCCCAATCTCCCTAAGCATCTACTTCATGCCTTCTTTATTTCCAATGACCCTTATGGCATCCAGCCAAGCCACATAGATGCAAAACTTCCTCTCATCTAGTCAAAGAACAAGCTGGGCTTGTTATTTTGGAATCTTTTTTCTTACCTGACAATGCCGTACATTACCAGGATATTCCCCAAAAGTCCCACCACACATACGACGGAATACAGGGCGGTGATAGCAATAGCGATGACGATTGAAGTAGTATTTTTCATTGGCAATTGATTTGTGGCATTAGAAGTTGTGAGAGAACTTGAGCTAAAGTCCTGGAAGGTACTGTTGTAAAATATTTCAGCACCGGGTATGGTGGACAGCTCCATGATACCAGGTGGCTCCAGAGTCCAGTTTGTGGTAGGACGAAAGGATCGGAAGGCTTGCAGTCCAAAGACTTCGTGAGAGCTGTCCCCTTTTGGTGGTGCTGAAAAGAACCAGCTCTTCTCCTCTTGGATAGGCTCACTCTTTCCCTTGCAAAGCACATTCAAATAAACCCAAAACTTCAAATCAGAGAGAAAGGGGGTACTGGGCAGCCAAGGCAGAAGTAGGAGCACTCAAAAGCAGTTGCACTAGCCGGTGGAATCTGACATCTATTCTAGCAGTTCTTCTGTATATACCCAGCAACACACTGCCTCCCTCCTTTATCTGCTGCCAAGCAGCTGAGCACAGGAAACTGAATTCGCAAGCTCTCCTAATGATGGTGATTTCTTATTTAAAAAAAAAGATGTGGGGGGGAAATCTGACATCTCTCTTGGACACTGGAAACAATGTACAAGATGCAGATGAAAGGAAGGAAGCAGTCAATCACAGTCTTTAAGGGTTGTTATGGAGAGAATTCTTCCCATTGCTTGCTTCCATCGTTTAAATGCTGTCTCCTTGGCTAATGTGTTTTTAGGGAGCTATTGATGCTATTATGGAAGTGGGTCTCTACGCACACACACGCACACAATATTGTTGCCGGTGGAGACAGCTATTAAAGATTGTTAATTGTGTTTAAATGGAGGTAAGAGATGGGAAGACAGAGGGAGAGAGAAACGTTCCAATAATTGATCATGGCATAACCCAATAACATCGGATAGCTTTCATTTTTTTCTTTCTTTTTTTCCAGGCTACCCATGAATCAAGGATACATAGATAACCTAGTGTGAATCAAAGATACATAGGTAACCTGTTCCTAGAAAAGTAGAGAGCTTGCTAGCATCACCTCACAGGTATCAAGATCACAAACAACTCAAAAGGCATCATTCATCTCTGTCATAATTTTTTGATTCTGAAGACGTGACAACGCTTTAGCTGATGTCTAAGAGAAGTAGCATGGTTGCTTCTTGAAAAATGGTATGAAAAGGCCATAGCTCAGCATCATTCTTGCAACCTCAGGAAAGGTAGGGAATGATCCTGCCCTTACTGAAGTTTTGGAGGTCTGATGTTACTCCCTGGATGGGCTTTTAATGTTCTATACAGTATCAGGATTTTCCTAAATGATAACTCGTTGAACAAATTGTAGTTACTACATTTGCAGTAACAGTTGTTACTTTCATTTTCATTAAGAGACAAGTTCCTACTTTGTTCTTACTGACATGAATTTATGAGGACTTTCTTTGCGAAAGAAATTGTTACTGGAAACGATCAGGCTTCTATCAGTAGCTTCATGTTGTGAAGGTGATGTAATATGCCTTATTGAAGCGGAGACACAATGTGACTTGCCTCAATTCATAATCTCTCCCAGCAAAGCCAGGGGAACAAGGAAAGCCATGTAGACACATTGTCTTCTGAAGAAGTGGTTTGAGCTGGTTCTCCTTTGAACCTTTATTGAAGTGAAGCATCCCTTGAAGCCATTTTCAAGGCGTTGAAAGCCATTTTCCCCTTCCACTGAAGTTAAAAAAAGACATCATTCACTTGCTTGGCTTCTGATAAACAGGTGATTTGTGCCTGAAAACACCCCATCAAAGCCATCATTTTGTGATAAGGCAAATCCATGGTGGTGATAGTGTCCATAATATGTTCCCAAAATTCCAACTTTGTCTATTGAATCTAAATTATTTTGCTTCCTGGTATAATTTATGCAGTGGAGTGTTTTCAGAGGGGCAAGGCTGGACTACAGGCTGAAATGGACAAGGAATACAATAATTTAGCACAAGCTCATTAGCACAACCTGCCAACAAAAGTGTGTATAATCAAGTCTATGGTTTTCCCAGTTGCAATGTATGGCTGTGAAAGTTGGACCATAAGGAAGGCTGAGCGCCAAAGAATTGAGGCCTTTGAACTATGGTGCTGGAAAAGACGCCTGTGAGTCCCCTTGGACTGCAAGGCAATCCAACCTATCAGTCCTAGAGGAGATCAACCCTGACTGCTCTTTAGAAGGCCAGATCCTGAAGGTGAGACTCAAATATTTTGGCCACCTAATGAGAAGGAAGGACTCACTGGAGAAGAGCCTGATGCTGGGAAAGATTGAGGGCAAAAGAAGAAGGGGATGACAGGGAATGAGGTGGCTGGATGGAGTCACCGAGGCAGTCAGCGTGAACTTAAATGGACTCTGGAGGATGGTAGAGGACAGGAAGGCCTGGAGGAACGTTGTCCATAGGGTTGCGATGAGCCAGACATGACTTCGCAACTAACAACAACAACATAGTCAGGGCTGCAAAACTAAAGAAAAAGAAGCATCAAATGATGTTGTTGCACATTAAAATTTGAGAAGACTTTGTCTTACATAATTATTTTCCTGCCCCTTCTGGCATTATTAGATTGTGAATCAGTTAAAGGCACCAGACTAAGCTATAGTTCCAACTACAGTCTTTGGGGCATAAGCCTTTATTGACATCCAGGGTTCAAGGCCAGACAGAAAGCATGATCTGTTTCATGAACAGTATCCAAAAACCTTCGGCACAAATGTACAAAAGTCCACAAGAATCAGGCCATACAAGGCTTGAGCAATATGTGGTTTAATTTCCAGGAGCTCCCCTCTCTTCCTAAATATAGCTGGGACTAATCAGCTCTGATCCCTAGAACGAGGCTATTCTCAGGTGGGCATACATACAACTGCCATCAATAGATAGATAGAGATAAACTACATTTACACATCATTCAAAAGAGCCTATACAAAACCTAAGAGGAAACAAAAGGATTACAGTACCACCCCCACCCCTCTAGCAGCCTACATGCAGATGATCAGAAATGAGCACCAGACAAACAATCAGGAAGGAAATAATGCTCTAATCAAGGAACCACAAGGAGGAAATTACACCTCCACCAAAACTGGCAGGGCGAGCCACTGCATATAAACAGGCAGCAAAGCTCACATTTACTCCCACTGATGTTACCAACTTCAGTGAGGACACATCTGCAAGCAAAAAACCAAGCTCAGAGAGCATCACAAACTCTAGAGGCTTGTAAGTATTTTAGAACATTGTACTGAAGGAATAAAGCTTTGTCAGGAGACTAAGAAAAGAGAGAAATTGGAGGAAAGGTTTACACTGAGTGGGCAGCCAATGACACTCCAGGGCAGTCTTTCTCAACATTGACAACTCTAAGATGGCTGGCTGGGGAATTCTGGGAGTTAAAGGCCACACATCTTAGAGGTTGAGTAACACTAACCCACCCCAGAGGATGCTAAATGCAACTGTCAACATATCTTGTCAATGTTCAGGCATTATCCTGAATACCAGAGGTTTCCTACCTCTCTGCCTGACATGTCTGCCTAACCTAATCCGCTTGTATTTATATTCAGATAAATTTCTACCTTTTCTTCATGTCATCTTCTGCTCTGCGGAAATGCTCAGCTGGCATTTCTATTCATCACAATCTGATACCATCCAATTTTCTGTCCCAAAGGAAGCAGCGGCCAACTAGGATAGGCAAAATCAGTTTGTGAGAAGGCTGCCTCTCGAAGGTCCGTGGTTCTCCATTCCTAGCAGATGGCAAACTGAATGTTGTGGCCCGCCAGCAGCCAGAGAAGCTGGTGGCAGACACAGATAGTGAGGAGGTTGGGGAGGAACATGGGACAGCCCTGGAGTCTGGGGAAGGCTCTGATGAGTGCTCTGTGTTGGAGGCAGAAATGGGGACAGGGTTGTCCAACAGTTATCAGCTGTCACTGGAGTTGGAGATCAGTGGGGCAGAAGAGGTGCTAGTTATCACTAATAAAACCCTTCATGGTATTGGACCTGGGTACTTGAGAGACCGCCTGCTGCCAATTACCTCCCAAAGACCCATTAGATCGCACAGGGTCGGCCTCCTCCGGGTTCCATCCACTAGCCAATGCCATCTGGCTACGACCCGGGGGAGGGCCTTCTCTGTTGCAGCTCTGGCCCTTTGGAACGAACTCACCACAGAGATTCGGACCCTCACCTCTCTCCCTGCTTTCCGAAAAGCCATTAAAACCTGGCTGTGTTGGCAGGCCTGGGGTTGATGAGCTCCCTTCCCCTCTCGACAAGTGTGGTTGTTGGTCATTTTAAATGTCTATTTTGTACTTGTATGTTTCCCTTTCCCGTTTAAGTTGTTCGCTGCCCTGAGTCCCTTTTTGGGAATAGGGCGGCATATAAATAAAATAAAACTTAAACTTAAACTTAAGAACAATTGGAGCCTGTTCCCTATGTGCGCATGCACATAGCTGCCAGGAGAAGGGAACAATTAAGGAACAAGGGCTGACTCGGGAGTAAAGGCACAGGTCTGCAGTGAATGGCCCCTCCCATAGAGAATAAAGAGGAGCAAAAGGGGAGGGGAGTTTGCAGGAGACAATTAATTCAGTTCATTAGGGTGAAGATCTGTTCCTGACTTCTTGCCAAGGAATTGCTGCTACAGCATGGAGTTTGGAAGATATCGGCTAGCAACTCTCGAAGCCTGATAAAGGCCTGTAATTGTGAAATCTCATGAAAGACTGTTGGCCAGGACTTTGCTGGAGAGGAATTCCCTTTATCCTAAATAAAAGAGGTTTTATCAGGACAAGGAGTCTGCTTTGTGATCTTGGGAAGCCTAGGTCAGAACCCCGAAGTTTTAACTTCCTCTGACAGAGGCTTTTCTTTTCTGGCACTTTTAAGAAGTTTAAACATCCTACCTTTCCTAGCTCATGACAAGCTAGAATCCCCATGATCTTTGACTCTATGGTAGTCATTACACTATCACTTTGTCCCCATGACAATCCGTCCAGGTGGTTTAGACCCAGAGGCATAATAATTCCGAGAACATCTCATTCGTTCTTCTGTTGATTTGAAGTTAGGTCTCTCCAATCGTAAAATCCAGGGTTTTTCAAATATTCTCTTTCACTCCAAAATCCATTGTATTTGGAACAGGAGACAATTCTGGCCAAAGGGAACTCTTAGAGCTTGTTTACTCAGAGTTTTGCTTTCTCATTCTAGCCAAGTTATATAACTGAACACGTCTTCTCACCTAAGAGGAGCGCGAAAGATCTTTACTTATTAGCCCAGAGACCACCATTGCAATATTGAATAAGATAAAAGCAGTGAACAAATAGGAGGGGAAGTGCTTCCCTTCCCTCCCTCTCATTCTTCAGCTTCTCCTTGGGGTGTCCCTCTGCTACAGAAGCAAACCTGTTTAAGCTACCGATATGATTGTCGGAGACACTCAAAGACAAACTAAAATAAAATAAAGTTGAAACTCTAAAACCAATTTATGTGAAGCTGTTCATTATATCGCAAC